GTTATAATAAAAAATATTATTTTTTCCTTTTTTTTCCCGTTTTCCTTCGCAAGTCATTCTGACATCGCAAACTGAGTTTCCTTGGTGTAATGTCTTAAATGTCGGACATTTTTCATTTGGTAGGGTTATTAAAGCGTGAGAATATGTACACGTTTGTACGTGCAACTTGTCAGCACTATATCACCGTTGTCGGTGTCTCTTTACATTCGCAAAATATACGAAAGTTAGTCTTGCCTTCGGCTTTGAAAAAACGAAGCTCAGACATGTGTATCGCATTATGTTTTTTTTTTCTTTTTTTTTTTGCATTTTTTAAACAGGACACTGTAGATCCAGTCAACGAAAAAACGAAAAATTTATTAGGCCTCGCCGAAGCCACCAATTGCTTGTTCCGTCATTCTTAAACAAAGAGATTCAAGACGAGAGTTAATTTCTGGCTCTGTTGTCTCAGACGCGTTGTTGCTACTCTGGCTAAGGAAATGATCCCTTGGTGCACTATACGTACGTTGTAACGTTCTTTGTAATTGCTGAAACAAATAAATACAAACAAATAAGTAATGTTTGCATTCGCACGTACTCTCTGATTTAACAAAATACGTACCTGTAAACTAGATTCTTGTAAACTAGGTCGCTTTTTTGTCGCATGGACAGGACGTAAAGTATTCTGATTTATGCTTTGGTTCTGATTATTTTGTAAATACGGAGTAGATATACTGTTTCTGTGAGTGCTGATCACAAAAGAATTGTTTTGCGGATGTGTATTATGAATGTGTCCTATGTTTAAACTTGGTTTTCTATTGTGCTGTTGCGGATTGCAATACCTTCTATTATTATATGCGTAATTATGTTGCCATCTGAAATTATAATAGTACAAACATTCATTCTACAGCGAATCTCTGCGAAAAAGAATTGCTCGGTAATTATTTTCTCTCTTTTACTTTGGAGTTGGTCGTGGATTTCCAAGTCTGCTACGCCACTGTTGTGCCTTCTCTTTCTGATTTGGAGTAAAGCAATCATGCTGCAATACCTTCTCCAGTACGTTAATACAAGCGCACAAAATGCCATCATCCACACTGTCCAGTGCTAATCTGCTACACACTATAAAAATAAACGAATATGAAAAATATATCTCTTTATTGTTTCAATAACACTGTATTTTCAAACATCACATTCAGAAAAATGCAACACTCACGTTTACCGAGAACCTTGGTGAATTGTGCTGGTATGTCCTGAGGATCATTTTCTTGGCTTGGTTTCATAGGTGTAGCTAAGATTGCTTTTAGTTCATCGATCGTATTGACCAGTACCGTTGATCCTTGTAAAAACGATGTCGATTGTGTGCTATCACGTGTTGGTTGCAGTAAGTCTTTTTCCAAATTTAAAAGTGTGGTATAACGTTGCTGCAATTTTGCAATTGATAGAGCTAATTTGTGTCTGGCTCCTTTTGTCACGCCCTGTTCTGCTAATTGTTCCTCAGTCAGTTGAAGCATTTCTTCGTAACTGAGAGTAACAAATAGATAACTATATTTATGAAGCCGTAAAGTTTTAAGCCATGATGGAACATCTGAAAAATAAGCACAATACGTTATTCATTTTTCTTAATTATAAACTATGAACCCACAAAATTATAGATACCTACCCCTCATGCCGCTAGCGAGTGATCGATTAGATGTTTCATCTAAACGCCCCTCACTACCACTACTTGCACAAGAGCTCTGAGGGCTTAATGGGCCTAATCCAATAAGATTGCCTATTTAGAAGTCAACAAGTATGCAAAACAAAATTAATGTATAATTAACATTCTCTCTTATATCAATAAGTTCAAATCAAACTAACTCGTATGGTCTCCAGAAACGCTAAAACTTCGTGGCTTGTGCTTAATTGTACAATTCACGTTGTTACTACGATCAACAACTTCTAGATGATGAGGAGGAGCAACTGGTGGTGTTAAACTATTTGACCGGCGTTGGCGAGTTACAGGTGGAGGAAATTGCAAGTTAAAGGCAGTACCTGGCTGTGTACCAAATAAACTTGTTTGTTCGTTTTGTTGTTGTTTAGAATTTCGCTGCCATGCATTATCCCACCTAAAATAAGCATAAAAAAATGAATATTAAATTGAAGTAATACCATTTTTTAAATATTTCCTAGACATTTTCTAGATATTTCCAACTTACCTAATAGTAGTATTAGTGTACTCTTCGAGACTATGTATCGGTGGTGTACCGCTAATGCGTTCTTCAAGATGTCGAAGCCACTGAGTCAGAGAACGTCTATCTTGACTAGTTATAGCTGGATGAATCAAACAGTAACTTAAAAGTTGTTGAGTTTGTTCTGTATATTGCCCTGTGGTTACACAGTGGCTTACTAATTCTGGTATTGCTACTAAATAGCATTGTTTGCACTCTACATTCCCAGGCCTTAATAGTGGTAAATGTGTTAAAAGTTGATTTATAGCAACTTCTGTTGATTCTGAGAGTAATGAATTAATAAATGCTGCAACAATGTCTTTGGTAAATATCACATGCTTCCATATAAACATAAATATATTTATGTTAATTATAAAAATTACCTGGATTATTCGCATTTAATTCTTGTGTGTCCAATTCAGAAACAGAGTGTAAAGAATGCTGCACAGCTTGTGCAAGGAACCTTGCTTGAACTTCAGGAATGCGACGAAGTAGTGCATATAAAACCACAGTTTGCTCACATTCATTCCATTGTGAAAAAACTCGAGTCAGTTCACCAACTTGTTCGCAGAACAAGGCACCAGGTGACCACTTCATCTTTAACAGTGTTTCAATATTAAGGAGCAAATATTGAAAGCTCCAATTTCTCTTGGATTATGCAGATTATGATTGAATTGTATTCCAACGATGTTCAAGCAAAAATAGACATGTGCCAATAGTCTGTAGTGAATGAATAAAGGTATTTACGTATATCTCACCTACAGGTTTATTATCTAATTAATACATACATATTTCTTTTACAAATATTTATTAAATATAAAAAACAATCACATTACTAAA